GTTGTATTAAACCGTGTTTTATGCTGTTTTTTCAGATTAACAGTCTGCGTTATATGTTGACAGCATATGCGCCCTGATGAAGGTGTTAACGACCTGCGAAGCTTGTTCGTTAATAAAGTTCTCCGAAACTTTGATAAAGTGGAAACTTGTAGGTGTGCTGTAGGACAAGTACTTTGAAAAGCCATCATGTAGAGGACTAAATATTTGTGACTAAGTTTTTATCCACACGTGCTCTATATGCGACAGCTGAATTTACAACCTGCAATGCTAAGTCATTTAAGTGAGAGATGGGTGTTTGTATCCCTTTGAGGACACAAATGAATTTGTTATGACTTCTGTCACGTTGGAGGTCAGTACCCCGGAACGATTCTTGTCGCTATTAACTGTGATCACCGCCTTCTGATCCCCCTTCACGGATAAGATCATATACAACATAAGATCATGTGAATGTGGAAATGAGATGTCATTTTAAACGGGCATATATTACCGGTTTGGGCAGTGTTGCTGCTCAAACTTTGTTGTTAGCTTCAGCTGACGGGAAAAACAACACAGCATGATGCCGCCACGATTGAACAGCTGATTGTACTCTTTTTGGTCATAAAATGCATATGGTTGTACAAAATCCACTTGTCAGATTAGTACTCAAGATTTTTTTCTCTTAGATGTATATACAAGTTGTGATATTTCAGCTTCCCTGTTTTCTGTCATCGTCGTTTCGTCAATTGCTTCGCGGATCATCGTTGTTTTCTGATATAAAGTTTTCTTTAGGCACGTTCTGGGTTTTTCGTTCACGTTTTTTGTGCACGGCGAAAACAACGTCTGCGTGAGTGTCAGCGTTCAGCGACAACCACCTCTTTATCGGCTGTCTCGGCAACATTTGACTTGCAAAAACGGTTTACTGCCTGTCATGTTGGCGCCGTGGTGTCTGAACGGCGTATTGAAGGCGGATGCTGATGTGAAGTGTGACGTTGACTGCCAGACGGAGAAGCTATGGAGAGAATGGTCTCAGTTTTTCCCCCTACCAAATACAGACGCCACCGAAAACATGGGTTACATTGACCCGGTAGAGAAGGAACAACAAGACAAGCAGAAGGCGATGTCGCTGCCGAAGATGGTTGATGTTCTAATCGGTGGTGTAAAGATGAAGTATCCGAGTATCTTCATTGCGGTCGCTGATGACGAGACGAATCTGGAAGATGACCAAGGCAGGATGAGAAGCGAGAGCGGCGTTTCTAACAGGGGTTTGGCTGCAGACGAGTTCAGGCGCTTATTGTCTGAGCACGTCATCGAGGACCTGTCGCTTGAGCACCATGGTGACGTCGTTGTTGCAGGCCCACCCTGCGGCACTGCATGTGATATGCAGACTGCGGTTGCTTCTAATCCCGTGGCGACGTCCACGTCCAACATGGTTCCCGCCGACGAAAATATTGGTGCTTGGAACTTCATAGACCTGTGCGAGAAGGAGTCGTGTCTGTGCAAGAAGATGGGAGGCAGTCTAGGCAGTGGCAACAGTGCTGTTGGCTTGTCCTTCCCTATACCAAACAAGGCGCAGCTTAAATTTGGTATCGCTTCCTGCACAAATGGCAATGACGGCAAAAGTTCTTCAGAGGACAAGAACGGCATGAACAAGGCGGGAGGCTTTTTCCATCGTCGTTTCTTGAATCAGGGTACATCAATGACCAAAACCGAGAACAGCCACGAATGCTTCACCGACTGTGTAACTTGCGGCGCTCCTGGCGTCGTACAGGCTAACATCAGCGACTCGACTTCTGGCGCCAAGGACGTTCCAGCGTCGACGGCTTCCTTCGGTCTTGCTGGCCACTCTGTGTTTGCTTCGTTGCCTGTCGCTGCTCAGGGCAACGGTGGGGCGTTGGAGGGTAACGGTGCGTTGGGGATGGTTGCATCGGCACCTACAGCGATGGAACATTTCCAGTTCAGTCGAGATTTTGAACCTTTCGCGTCATCATCCGGTGACCGGCCTAAACTGACCGAGTACAACCGTGTAAAGGAGTGTGCAAAACCTGACGAGTTGATTGTGAAACCGCATTTCGAAGGAGGCGAATATGCAAACATCGACTATGAGCTCCTTCGACGCAAGCAAAGCGGCATGCTCACATTTGATGACGCAGCGTCCGAGCTGTCGTCGGCCGCCACTGCAAAAGCTTCGTTGGATCAACCAAACGACCTGCCCCCCGATGAGATCAGTGAAGATTTTTACGACAAACTTGAATGCGTGCCGTCGTGCAATCCGCCGCACGATCGCCGTGGTCGATCAATTTCCAAACGTCGCAAGAGACTCAAACTCCTGTCCGGCGTCAGTGGCTCACAGCACCTCCTGCACAACGCCACCAACGTTGGCTTCCCATTTGCGCCATCGCCAAAATTCACAGCGAAGGACGAACCCTTGGATTCACCTACTCCCATCAGCGGACAGTCCACAACAGCGATGAACGTGAATGGTAGGCAGGCCTGCCTTTGTCTCCTGAAATGCTGTTACACTATGTCTCTTTCAGATGCCGTCAAAGGGGAATGCGACAATGGTGGATTTGGTGGATTTCCATCGTCCGGCGCTGCTTCGCTTCCTGACCATATCACCACCGGAAGCGGAAGCGACAACGATGATGAAACGATAGACGCAGTAAGCAATTATCGAGTTTTTCTTATAACTTAATTTCAAGTTCATGCCATCGATTCTGTAGTAACAGAATACTAACTTCATTAATCACTTGTCACTTCTTATTTATACGGCGTAGTTGTACGGTCCTGTTATTATTTGCCGCCTGAGAGTTCTTTAAACAAAGCGCGGCCCAGCGGTATTATCGTAACGGCGATGCATAGATGCGAAATTTCGTTGTGTTAAACCGAAAATTGAATATCACTCAGGGTTATTGCACTGGTCTCTTGCTCCTAGTTGTTTAAGGAGACCATTTGAGCGGGTCACGGTTCTATCGTTTTTAAGCACCTGCAGTGCCAAATGCATTCCTCATCGTTATGCCCGCTTGGCCCACCTTGCGCTCGTCACTAACGATGATTCAGGAATTGTTACTCCTTATACAGTATTGTATAAACACCGATGTATGTGAAACAGCGCCTAACTTAGGGGCATGGCTTGCTCAAATACCCTCCTAGACAACTTGGAGCAGCGGGGCGGTACAGTACGCCGTTTTGAAAAGTTATACGCCACTGAACATACTCAAGCCTAGGGACATGATGTTAATGCGGCAATGTATGTAATCCGGTAAAGCAGCATGTGATTGTTATTCTTACCAGCGGTAGCGAAAGTTTAACATTTTGTTGGTAAACCGAAAATGTCATAATTATTTGTATTGTATACCAATCTCATCGGGAAATCTGATTTCACTGCCTTGTTGATTGTTATTCTTGTACCTGATTTTATTTCGTTTTTTACTATCAGTGACATTTTTTTTATCACTCTGCTGTCTTTTTGTTTTTTTCTGTTCCTCTTACTCCTTTTTGTTCCCTTTATTGTTTTTCCCCATTTTATACCCGACGTTTTTGTTAAAACCTTCAGATAATGTCATCCGTTGTCTTCGGATGGCAATTTTTATGTACAGCGCTACTTTTTTTTTTAATAACTTGCTGCTAAGCAAGCATTAATCTGACAATAAACGTTTCATTTTAGTTTCTGTCTCCACCACCTAGTTACAGCAGGGAAGAGGAAATGTTGGCATTCTGTCAAAAGCAAACATGTCCATCGGATGTTACTGCAAAGCTTGGCATCAAAAGAGAGCCTACCATTCTCGCCACCAGTGCTTCTTGTCGCTTATCGGCCCTTTCGGCGTCAACTCAGATGCCACCGCAAAACGGAACGACGCAGTCGTTTTCCAACGGCCAGCAGTCATACGTTGCAGCATCTGTGGATCACCTAGGAATTATTTATCCCACGCCTCCGTCTCAGGAATCGGTGCAGCAGTTTTCACCGGAGTTATCCACGCACATAATGGCGGTTTCAAACCACCACAAGGACACGGACGTGAAATCACTCTGTGACATGCCACCGTCGGACAGAACTGCCGCTAGCGGTGACACCGGCGGCGGTTCAAAGCGTGCCGCTTCTGAGCGTGACTGCGACAAACAGCCGCTCGACTCATGGTCAGCCATAAAGCGGCAAAACATCACCGACGTCCCATTGAGTGCCACATACCTGTCCGCCCCCGCGTTTGTCTCATTACCGTTGTCCCAGCTGAAGCACCTCAGTCCTAGTGTGGCGAAGGTGCCGATGGTGTATAAGCCGCGTAAGACTCACTCGACCACCAGTTTCGGTGGTCCCGGTGCCGTTCCAGCAATGTCTCATGTGCTGCCTTTTTCCAACGTCATCTACGGCGGAGTCGGCGCAGGAGCTGCTAGTCTTTCATCGTCTGGAGGCACGACAGGCATAGGGTCTATGGCCCATTTCGGCCAACACGTTAATTGCAGGATGCTGCAGGCGCATTCGTCTTGTACCGGTATCGGCATTGGCTTCGATTCTCCTGTCCGCAACAACCTATCAGCACCCGGCTCAGTGCGTTCGATCAACGAGCAATCACCAGGAAGTGCACTGAACCCGCCATCTGTTTCGTCACCGCACCTGACAAAGACCCCGAAAACTCCAGGCATGACCGATCTGGCCAGTCCATTGTCAAACGCCTCCTCTGCTTACGCAAGGTATGGCCTTTTATTATTATTTCTTCTAAATTTGTCTAAGCTGTGGAAAACAACCATATTCCTTTCTACTTGTTTTTTTACATTACGGTGAAACAGATTGCGAAGAACAATTTGCGAAAGCTGATATGCTATAAAAGCTACGAATATTAGAAAACAGCGAAACATGACTATTATAGGTCCATCTGCGTAACTAGAAATTCAGAAGACCTCGCTACACCTCTAGGCTGTGGAGTGGATAGAATTCATCCGGAGTAAATTAAGTATGGAGGGACAAGAATAGTGTAAAAACCCATTCCCTGTTTCATAAAATATGCGCCGACCAACGTTTCCCAGGTGAATGGAAGTGTGAAGTAGTTCTCACTATACTTAAAGAGGTGGGTCAGATTACCGAGTTTCCAATTATCGTGGTATTACGCTATTGTCAACTCCATGGACATATTTCTTCTTCATTATTCTCAATGCCAAATTGTCGATGAATCATGGGATTTCGCTCATCTGATTTATATGCCCTTTGTGGACTTAGAGAAAGCCTGTTTCCCGCTTCCGCGCAACAATTTTTGGGCATGCCAAGGGATCGATGGCCACTTGCTACGGACTATCCAGCCACTGTATGCTGATAGCAGGTGCTGCGTCAGAGTAAATGGCATTAAGCCGAAACTTTTTAGCTTTGGCACTGGTCTCCGCCAAGGCTGTGTTCTATTCCCTCTCCTGTTTGAGTTGTACATGGACAGAATAGTCAGGCGCAGCCAAGGCGATGAGAGTATCGGTAATGAAGATGTAAAGACGAGAAGGTTGCTGCTTGCAGACGACCTTGGTTTATTGGCATCTGGGAAGGTTCGTAGCCGAGTGGGACGTGACCGGCAAGCATGTAAACGCATCTAAAACGAAAATCCTAATGCTTTCTCGTTCTCCTGCCTGTTGCTCTCTTCAGGTTAACGGGGAGGCAGTGGATCAGGTTGAGAAATTCACGCATCTCAGGGCCACGCTTAATGGTGGTGGAAAATGAGAGAAGAGATCGAGTTGTAATGGTTAGCGACGTCCTGCGTGGCCTGACCGCAACCGTTTTGATTAAGGCAGAGCAAGTCATTCTTCATCCTGATGCTTACCTGTTGTCATGAGTCGCGGGCCGTGTCTGAAAAACTGATCCCTGGTACACACGGGTTAAAGCGGCTTTTCCGAGACGAAGCGCTGAGCTCACATATCTCGACATCATCTGCAGAACAGATCTCCTAGACAGTCTTGTTGTACAGCCGCTGCTTTTTCAGGCTGAGAAGTCACAGCTGCGATGGTCTGGGTGGGTTCTTCGAATGCTTCCAGAAAGGAAATAGAACAAGCTATTACATGATTAATCGATCGACCGAACATCCTGAGGACGGTCAAGGATAACATGAGACAAATAGGATCAAGGACTTTGCAC